CCCCCCCCTAAAAAAAACAACCCCAACAAACATAACAAAAAAACAAAAACATTTTTTATTCTTTTTGGGGGGTACATCACTTTCTATGTCCCTTAAAATAGGGAGGCATAATGAGGTGCTGAAAGTGCTCACCACAATGGCGACAAAACAGGAGGAAGAAGGAGAGCACACCCCCAAGCTACAGAAGCATGGACTCGCCAAGATTATGTTCGTCCCGCAAGGAAGCAGGGTTCCCAACAGACAGAAAGCGAATGCAGCCATGGAAGACCAGAGCGGAGGCACATGGGAGGTAGCTGCTGACTTAAAGGGCTTTGAGAGATTCTTCCCTATCCGAACTGCGAAAAAGCCAGACTTGGTGTTATGGGAGGAAAAAGAGAAACACGTGCACCTGGTAGAGCTCACGGTGCCCCACGAGGACAATATCTATGCCGCACATGAGCGGAAAGAAAACCGTTACGAGGCACTCGTTGAACAATGTGAGGAGGCAGGATGGAAAGCAACCCATTTTTCCGGAAGAGGTAGGATGCAGCGGTTTCGTATCAACTAGCGCCCGCAAGTGGACGAGAGCGGCAGGACTAACTGCAAAGAAAAGTAACGAACTCATAAACTTCCTTCAGAAGACAGTTGAGAAAGCCAGGCACTAGATCTGGTTGAAGCGAGAGGACGCAGGCTGGAATGAATCCTAAGAGTTGGCAGCAGAGGAAAACAGTCGAACTAGCACGAGGGGGCTCGGTGCGTCCAAAAAGCTGTAGAGAGGAAGAGCCCGAAACAGTGCTGCATTCTCTCCTGATGTTCTCTATGCTAGAGTCCGGGATACGGAGCGTTCGGCTGTGAGCAGTGCATACGGCTGTTTTAGACTATGGAAATGTAAATGTTCAGTGTCCAAACCTCTTCCTCTAATTTTTACCTCTGACACCAGACGAACCCTATCCCCCCTCCTCCCTTTCAATAGCAAATATCTCGACTTTTATTCTAAATAATGTATAGGTTTGTTTTCCCCAAAGGGCAAAAAAGTAAATAAGCTTTAAATAACACAACACAGGGCCTACCAAAAAATTGACGAGCGCCTGATTCCAACGCGTTGTGAAACTATAATTGGGATGTGTGTCTTCTACTCTAAAGACTAAAGGGTTATGAAGCACAGAGGGTGGCACTTTGCTATTTTTACTGAAGATGTTTTGTTTGTAAACGTGGAGGTATGCATACATGTATGTGCTGTGCTGTGTTGTGCTGGGCTGCACTGTGCTGTGTGTGTTTGTGTGTGTGTATGTGTGTGTTTGTGTGCGTGTGTGTGTGCATGATTGCATGCGTGTGTTTGTTTGTTTGTGTGTGTGTGTGTGTGTGTGTGTGTGTGTGTGTGTGTGTGTGTGTGCGCGCGCGCGCGCGCATGTCTATGTTTTAACATTTGTCTGTCATCTTATCGACCGTCTCCATCTGTCTATCAGAATACTGTAGGCCTTTATTATTATTTCACTTGGTTGATCGATTAAGTGAAATCAATGTTGAACTGAGAGAAAGTATTCAGCCAAGCAAAAAAACAAAACTGTTTCACTTTCCCCCGACTTTGTAAGTGTATGACCCCATTCCCCAGCCAAAAAAACCCCAAAACAAAACAAAACAAACACACAAGAAAGCAACTGATTAAAATACAATTAGCGAACTCATTATCTTCCACTAGTTAAATAAATGTACTTCCCAATTTTAATAAACATAAATTTTAAAACAGTCCTATGATCTTTCCATATTATCACATATTATTATGCAAGTGTCATTTTTGGACTATTTCTAACATTTCTGTGTCAGTCAAGATGCTGATCACAGTCACAGGGAAGTCATCTTTCTGCGTCAAGTGAAGTATCCAAACCTGCACTTATAACTTAATATAGGCCTACTGATCGTTGATAAAGATAAGCATCCCCCAATTGTGAGGAAAATTGTAGCTGAGAAAGTGCCATTAATCGTCACCGTAAGGTCATTTCCTGGTACATGTATTTCAGTAGACACCGCTAAACTGAGTAACTCTTCAGTACAAGAAATAAAAATTCTATTTGCTTGACTTAGAGACTGGAATGGAAAATGGCTGAGTTGTTTTGAAAACACCGATGGTCCGAACTCTTTTCTAGACATTTGACGTTAGTAAACATATCGTTTTTTTGTCTTCTACTCACATGTGGTAAAGTTCACACAGCTTAACTCATTCTTGAATTAGATCTATTTATATTGGTACTCGTGAATCTGGAATCTTGCAGGTTCATCTCTTGTCAGTGGTCATGATCAGACTTGCACTGCTGCACTGTGTGACTGATTCACTGATTCAGTCAGAATCAATGTAATGTAGATTCTAGATCTAGATCTAGATCTAGATCTAGAATCTAGATTCTAGGGTGATCTTGTAGTTCCCTTCGTTAAAGTCCACAATCCATTTGTTTACACCCAGAGAAGAAATCCGGGATAAATTTATAGGAACCCTCCCGTCTCGTAATGGGTATTATTTTGACATTTGTAGCTTTTTAATGGTTTTTTTTAGGGCCCTGAACACGATTTTGGCATTAAAAAACGTCGCAAATGGTTTGTTTAGATGTTAGGGCACGTTATTTCAGTTTCAGGCCCCCCCCCCCCTACTCGCCCTACTACACAGCTATAATGATATTATTATAATGTTCTCGCACGTCAGGGGGAAACCCCCTGAAACCCCCCTAATGACTTCAAAAGCATGCATTTATCACAAAAAAGTCCTAAAACTAGATCTAAGCCTTTTTTAACTCTAAAAAAAACTGACCGTATTCGTATATCGACGGCAATAAAGTGGTGGAGGAGCTGACTTCCAGTAGTGGATGTGACGCGAAACGGGAGTGCTTCTATAAAAATACCAAATCCGGAAGTCTTGATGACCAAATAGGCAACACAAAGAACAGGTGTATGCAACACTGCAAAACATCTAATTTTATGGTAAAATTCAGGGGGGCGTTGCAAATAGGCACTTCCAATTTCAGGGAAGCTTTAAAAGTTTGTGGTTTTAGATAGAATCAAGAATTAAAACTTGTAAGCTATCTAGACCTAGAATCTAGATCAAAATCTAGATCTGTATCTAATACGAGACTGTTTCTTTTTGAGGATCACTCTTGGCCTTCTTTTTAGCCTAACGACTACTACTACAGTACAATGTTTTTATTTAGGTTTAAAAAACATTGAGTGGTTTTGAATTTTAATGTTTTGATTTTAATTAATGTAATCGCCTCTATATAATAATTTTATTCAAATAGGCGTACTCAACTTACTGACTGTCAGGTGAGTAAGATATAGAGAATCTAGATCTAGATTTCTAGTCATTAAGGTCGCGCTTTGACTTGAAAAGTATTGCATACTCTTCCTATCCAAAATGATTTTTTTTTCTCTCTTAGAAACTTCTGAAACTAACTGTCTGAATCTCAGTGTTTACTTTGAGTTTTTTTGTGAAAGAGTGTTTTTTTTTTGCTTAGGACTAAAGTAAGGCAGCTTTATCATGAAGCCTACAACTTTAAAAAGTATATTGGCCTCTAGGCCTATTTGACAAATTATTTTTTGGCCATTTTTTTTCAAAATGCGCATTTTAGAAATTCATTGGGTCAAAGAGAATCTAGATCTAGATGAAAAAAATCGACTTCCATTAAATATTCAAGTAAACTGATGACAAGTCATTTTGTCTATCTATGAGTGCAGTCCTACAAATGAGTTTGAGGTCTTTAACTGTAACTCTTGAAAAGTCACAGAAAAGGATGTTGATGGTCTGCTGTAATTTGTTCTCTCTCTCGGAGCATAGTTTTGATCTTTTCTTGCTTCAGGTGTCTTCTGTGATAAACCAGTGACCTGACTACAGTCAAAATGGCACCCCTTGATTGGGCAGCCATAGAGGCTGTCAAAGTCAGTTCTATATCAGATGAGCAAGCGGATGAGCTTTTTGATGTGCTGAAAGATGTAAGTTCATTAATAAAAACATGATTGGTTAATGTTATTTAACTGTATCATCTTCAAGGCCTTTACATTTCGTTTGATTGTATATTTTTATTGTCTTGATTAAGATAAAACGAATGAAGTAAACTTGATCTTAATAGAATGTGATTTTACTGCGTACTCCGATGGTATGGATTTGACAATTTTTAATTTTTGCTGAAGAAAGATAGGAGTTATATAATAGGCCTACCATATATTTTTAAAATGTTTGTTATGTATAGTTGATGGAATCATTCTTTGTATTTAACAAATGCTCAGAATGTTGTCTGTAGTTTACCTTTTCAAATGTAACTCAGATTTCACTTTTAGCTTGTCAACTGTAGCTTTCAATGTCATATTAGTTTTTTACATGAGGCTTAAAATGTCGTTGAACTTTTCAGATTAAGTTTAGATTGGTGTGTATGTATTTAAGTTTTTCAAAAATATAACTTTATGAAACAAGCTATTGATAAACCATGATAAAAATGGTGTCATCTTTTATAAAGATGAATGTTGAATTGATGGGCTTTGCTAACCTGGAAGAATGGAAGTTTCAAATTTGAGATGGGTGTACTATATTATTTGTTTCAAAATCTCTAATTCTGGTGTCCTGATCAAGTACTCTTGCTTTCAAAATTACCTAAATGATTATCAAGTAAGTTCTTTGATCTTACGTTCAGTAAATAAGTTTCTGTTGGTCTGTTTCAGGGGAAGCCAGGAGATGACTATGATGCTGCCAAATTCAAAAAATTGTTTGAGGTCACTCAAGCTATTATGGTGAATAGAAATCAACTGCTTGATGATGCGATGAATGAGGCTGAAGCAGAAGCAAAGAAAGCACTCAAGAAAGGTCAGTCTTTATTTGTTCAAATGAATTGTGACCAGGTCATACCCAAGATTGTTGTGTTTTTATTGAAGAAATACAGAGAGATTAAGAAAAACACTGAGCAGATGAAGGTTTGAGGCATTTCAACTCTCAATTAATTATGGATATATATATAGTTAGCAGTATTTCATTCTTTGTGGAAAAAAAAAAAAAAAAAGGCTGCTGGTTGTTAATGATGAAGTTGTTTTGTTTGTTGTTTTTGTGTATGCAGAAGGATTGAATAACTGGTCATGTGAAAGCTGTCGATTATATTCTGTTTGTTGGACAAGAAGACACTGGATGCTTTTAGCTTTAAATCATGTTCTGTTCATAATACATACATGCTTGTTATTTGTAATAAAACGAACAACATACAGTCTTGCTACTTGTATATGCTGGTGGACAAATATGAAACAAATGATGTTTTAATGAAAACAAATGATCTCCTTATTGTTAAACAGTGGCTCAGCACTTCGGGACTGTTCTGTCTGAAAAAAAAGCTAATGTTTTTGGCTTTCACATGAGCCCTGCTAGGGGGCTGTTGTTACCTAGAGCTCAAGGTGTTCGCCTCTCATTCAGTAGGTTTCGGGTTCGAGTCCGGAAAGAGAGAAAACATTTTCTTCTCTAAACATTTCTCCTTTCACATTCTTTACTGCTCTCTAACATTGTTCTGTCATCTGTATTCGTCTTCACTTTCTGCTCCGTCCCCCTCACCTCCTTTGCCCCCTCCTCTGGGCTCCTGACTCTTTCTGCAGCCTTTCTATTGCTACTCCTTGGCTCCTTCTTACTGCTGCCTTTCAGCCGCACCCCTGGTCGTATAGTCCTCGGACAAGGGCGAAAAATCTCGGAGGTCCCGTGTGCAAGTTGCGCATGTTAAAGATTCCTTTGTTGTCCGAAATCGATAAAAGTAGGTTTCGGCCACCACCGGGGCAAAATTCGAAATTTTCTACAACTGAAAATGTTTAATATGTCCCGCACGCTCATATGATCTTATGCAGTTGCTAGCGTCGTAAAACACTTACAAAAAAAAAGAACCCTGTTAACTGAGCCAGAGCTGCTACGGAAACTCCTAGATATAGGGTCCATCTCTCTGAGGCGTGGGAAGAAGGCAGTGGCGACGGATTGGACATACTCTCAGGAAGTCAGGCAGCTACATAACACGGAAAGTGTTGGATCGGAACCCAGGGTAAAAGATCAAGGGGAAGACCACATGGAACCTGGAGAAGAGTCACAGAAATCGATGTACAGAAAAGTGGAAAGACATGGAATAAGATCAATAGGCCAGCCCAGGATAGGGAATGGCAATGATGATGATGACACTGAGGCGTGGACTTGGATGGTAGAAGGGTGAAAGTGGCATGCACTGAATCATGCTGATACGGTTGTTATGTGTCTGATTTAGTCTTTCCATATTTCTAGATAATTAATAAGGTGTTCTGTTTGTTTTCCGAGGTGTATGTTCAGTGTTAAGCATTTCAAACTTTAAAAAAAATTTCAGAGCAAGAGCTGAAGAAAGAAAAGGAAAAGCTGGAGAAGCAGGTTGAAGAAGTCAATGTAAGTGTGTATTTGGAAGTTGTTTTATTGAGGCTGAAGGGCTGAAAGTTAGCTTGGAAATCTCCAAAATTGAATTTTGTTCTGGAATTAATTTTTTGCTTGCGTCCTTCAACTGAATTTTTTTTTGGGGACTGAAAAATGTTAAATTAGACGAGGTCATGGACTCCTGTTTTTGAGGCCTCCTCCATGTCACTTTTTCTTAACTCTCGGTGCGAAATTTGATGAACGCATGGAGTCAACATGGAAAATATTTCTCCTTTGGGATTGTTCAAAGCCGGTATGATATCAGTACACGGTTAAGTCTGTGTGTTTACCAGGTCCATTTTTGTTGGGCTTAGTGGGAAACAAGGATGCAACTTTAGGTGAGATGTTGTGAGTGCACCAAGCTGCACTGAGGGAAACTGGTTGCTGAAGGAAGAAGATGAGAAGAGGCTGGTGGAGGTGGGTGTGTTGTGTGTATGTGGAGGTGAGCACATGAAATGATTTGGATGTTGAGGTTAACTTTGGTTGCACTGAAAGGTAATGACAGCTTAACTCTTTATACCGCATCAGATGCTGGGAGGGTCCAAACTGATGACAACTGTTTCGTTTTATTTAGTGCTAGTTTCTGCTTGTTTTTTTAAACTATTCCCGAACCAAAGAAGTTTTTTTAGAAATGGCTAAGCTTTGTTTCCGCCATTTTAGATTCTAGAAGTTGAAGGCAGCGTTTGGGGTTATAATGAGATATAGTGCACCAGGTTTAGGTGACTATAGAAAAAACTCCTGGATATGGAGGAAAAAAACTCAGGGTTTAAAGAGTTAAATGTCCTTGATCTTGGAGGAAAGGATATTATGTCGTTTGAATTGTTGCCCTCCGAGTAGTATATATTGATCGGGTGATTATCGCTTTATAATATCCAAGTACATTTTTGAAAAGCAGTGTTCAAAATTTGCCTATAGTCAAATGTTATGTGTTTTTAAGTAACTGTTGAGAATTTCAGTAAAGGAATTTTGAGGTAACTCTTTAGTAAAAAAAAAAGGCCTGTGCAAATTATATGTTTTTTATAAAGTAACTGTTCCAAATTTCAAATAAAGAATCTGTAAGGTAAGTCTTTAGTAAAAAGGTAAGGCATATATTATTTAATATATTTGTCAAGGATTGATTATTGCAATTCCTTACTGGCTGGTGTACCTGATGAACAGTTACAACAACTACAAAGAGTACAAAATATTGCTGCCAAAATAATTACTAAAAAACTAAAGCATGATCATGTGATTCCTATTTTAAAAGCATTACACTGGCTCCCAGTGAAAGAGCGTATCATATATAAAATCTGTTTAACTTGCTACAAGTGCTTAAATGATTTATCACCGGACTATCTAAAACAGCTTTTAACACCGTATGTGCCTCCAAGAACGCTCAGATCATATAGTGACAAAACAACCCTTGTTAAGCCTAAAATAAATTTCAAATCATATGGCCAACGCTCTTTTTCATATTTTGCCCCACTTGTTTGGAATAGGCTTCCAAAAACTATCAGAGAAGCAGAAAATCTAGAAATTTTTAAGAAGAAACTAAAATCATTTCTATTTTCATCATATTTCGATTAGACAGAATGCATCCAAGCTGTAGATCGTTGTGAGTTTGTATGTGCGTATGTGCATATGTATGTATGTGTGTATGTGAGTATGTATATGTGTGTGGTGCGTGCGTGAGTGAATATGTGTTTGCATGAGTATGTAACATTATGTATCTTTAAAATTGATTTGTAAATCCATTATATGTATCATGTTAAGCGCATAGAGCATTGCATAAGTGGATATGCGCTATATAAATGCAATCCATTATTATTATTATTAATACTGAAGTGAGCCAAATGCTTGGTGGACTTTTTGTATCGATTCTGTCCTTTTTCCGTCAGAAATACGGCCCAGACACGGGAGGTGGAGGCGGCAGCCGTGATGTTCGGTATCTTCGGGAACAGCTGCGGGAGTTGGAGGAGAACAATGACCAGCTCAAACAGGAAGTGAAGGATCTCAACAGGGACTTGAACGGCGAGAAAAGAGCTGCAGAAAAGGTTGGTGTTTCACCTCTCGGCCGTATATACTCTTTCCTTGCTACAAAGGTCTCTACATTTGTGGCAAGTCGGTGTGTTGTAGAAACGACATATTGAATGTGGTGTTTGGGGAGGTATGTTCTTCAACTTATATATAAAAAAAAAGTAGGCAATTTGTATGTGTTAATGAAGACAAAAGAAGGAAGGGCAAAATATTTTGAAAGAGTTATGGTTAAGTTTGACTTCATTGTTTGTTTTGTTTTAGAAGGGTAATGGTATTCTGGAACATCGTTGGCCAGCTGTTCAGTTGTACTAAACCTGAAATTTTGAAAAGATATTTTGTTTGTTTTGGATTAGTTCTTAATTTGCGGTAAAGGTCGTATTTACTCGAGAAGTACATAGTTGAAATTTCAAATTTTAAATGTTGAAAAAGCAAGAAGGGATACATAATGTAGGTGTAATTGTTAAAAGGAATGAAATAGTTTTTTCTCTCTCCTGAAAAATTTTGCTTTTATTGGGCTTAAAGCAGATTGAACAGCTTGCTGAGGATGTGCTAATACCCTATTTATGTTCAGAATCAGGCTTTAGGATTTAGTTAAGAGGAGTAGGTCATTGTATTAAGAATGAAACCCTGTGCATTGGCCTCTTGTTGCTTTCTGTTTTAATCAATTGTGTTTATTGTTTTCAGTACAGTGAAAGGATCAGTGAACTTGAGAAGGAACTGAAGGATACCAGGGAAGATGTGAGTACTTGTCTTTTAAAAAAAAAATCTTTTTAAAAAAGTTTCCAAACTACCAGTTATTTTTGTCGATTAAATTTTGTTTTGAGGGTGGAAATGTGTGTCCAAGTTCAGTGATGAAGCTTTGGACTTGTGATGAGATAGGCAAATCTGTTACTTTGGTTTGGAGTGCTACAATCAGCTACACCTGAGCTGTTTGGAGGGAAGAATGTAATGGAAGATAATAATAATAATAATAATAATAATAATAATAATAATGATAATTGATTGCATTTATATAGCGCTCTATCCCATACGAGTATAAGCTCTGAGCGCCTTACCTCAGTGACATGATCACTGAGCGATTCACACCAGATAAAACATTTCATAGTAACAAGAAAACCAGTTCAACTGCACAAAGAAGAACACCATACATTAATTATATACATGTAAGGACAGCAGTCAAAACGAAATATATGAGCACTTACTAACACACTACAACTAAAAATTGAACCAAATGAATCTCTAGCTATAAAGGAGGGGGAGAAGAAGTTAGAGGAGGTGGAGAAAGAGGAGGAGAAAAAGAAAGAGAAGGTAGGGGAAGGACTAGTGCAAAAGCTTCTACTGCTTGTTTTGTTGTTTTTATCTTCATGTATTCCTGACCCAGATTTGTTGTTGTCGTGTTGCAGAATGACCAGATGCGCCAGGACATCAGCGACTACAAGATGCAGATGCAGACTCAGAGGGAGAACATTGTGTCTCGTCGTGGCGAGGATGCGGAGTTCAAGGAAAAACTGGCAAAGAAAAACAGGGAGCTGGCTGAGACTATGGAAGAGCTGCAGGTGAGGAGAAGTCTGTCTCAAAGGGTGATGGGGGTGGGGGTGGATGTCTAAAATATATCTCATTCAGTGCTTTGTGAAAACTTATGCACTTTCCTGCTGTGTCGTCTAAAATGATAATGTTGACATTTCTTTCTCTGCCTGCGAGAGTTCTGGGAAGATGCGAATGAGTGGGGAGACTGTTTATTTCTTAATCTTTTGAAGCATGGTCTCCTAAGCTTAGAGGATCCAAGTACATGAGCGCCAGTGGATTGACTCCTAAATTTACACCTGTGCATGCTGAGGCATGTATTCTATTTGTAAAAGGTAAAATCTTGGGTGCATAGTATTAATACTTCCTAGAAAATCTGTTTTATTTTTAAAATATTTTTTTCATTCTTGTTTACATTCTCTCCGACCTTGAGTTTGCTGTAACAGATGGAACAAAAAGTAAGGCAGATACTGATGAAGTATTCTTCTTCTTCTTCTTAGCATTTCCAGTAGTTTGATGTTTCTTCTCAGACCTTCCTGCAATTAGACGCTCTGTCTCTTTCAGTTCTGCCTGCCTGAGTTGGTTTGGTTCGGAGTTAGGTTTTTATGTTCCGTTCCCATTTTCTGCTAGATCTCCCCTGTCCTTTCTCACCTTTTGCCTTTCCCCTTATGGCAAAGTATTATTATGTGATATATAAGAGTGTTATTTTTTCTTTTTTCCCCAGAACATCTCGGATGCTAACGACTTGCTTCAAAAGAGATGTGAAGACTTGCAGCAAAATCTGGAGGATGCCATTCAACAAATGGACAGAACGACTGAAGATTACATGAAGCTCAAGGTGGGCATACTTCTCTTTCATATACAACATAGTTGGTAAATGACTTAGTATTTATTTGTCTTCAAGAATTTTTTACTCCCTTCGTCTCAGAGACAGAGGTGGGGGGGTGGGGGGGGGGGAGAAAAGGGAATGGGCAATATCACTCTAAAGATGGAAAATTTGGAGGTCCATCGTGTTTGTTGCAGACCTTATAGATTCCTTTTCAGAAGATGCTAAATAAGACTAAGCCTGGTAGGTTTGGCTGCCCAAAGCAAGATTGCAAATCTATCCCAGCAACTGATTAGAGGATGCAAGTTGCAAGTCCTACTTCTTTTCTTTCCAGCTATTATTTCTGTCTGTCTGCCTTGCTTCTCACGCTTCTAAATAACTTTAATCATATTTATGTGCTTCTCTTTTCTTTTGAAAGCTGAAGATACCCTGATATATTAAAATAATTATAATGATGTTCAAAAACAGGTCATGGGTATTTGAAAGGGCAGAAACTTTACAATAACTTGGATAATAGAAATTGTTGTTGAAAATAGATATGAGCCTCTTTCAAAAGATGAGCAAGTCTGGAGTGCCTCTTCTCTTCCATCGGTGACAGACATCACAAATGGAGCATTTTGATCCCTGTATCTGTAGTAAATGTTCAAATTCTGCCTGGAATTCCCAGAATGTTCTTCAACAAAGTGACACTGTGACCGATGCCCTGAGGGAAGAGAACGAAATCCTGAAGAACCAGGTACAGGATCTCACCGAGCAAGTCCAGTCTAAGGGTGAGGCCGACGATGCTATCATGGTGGCGGTCAACCAGAAAGTGGACGAGTGGCAGGTACGTTAGTTTTCGTGTGTGTAGTTGTGGTTTTTGCAGAGCATGGGTGGACGGACCTGGTTTTGGTGTGAGTGTGGTTTTTGTGCTGCATGTAATGGACGTGGTTTTGTTGAGTGGTTTGTGGTTTGTATTTTGATGTAGTGGTGTTTTTGTTTTGTGAGGACCGACTCGGTTTTATGTCATTGTGGATTGTATTTTGTTGTCGTGGTAGGTGTTTGTATTTTGATGTGGGGGTGTTTTTGTTTGTGAAGACAGACTCAGTTTTGTTATGTCATTGTGGATTGTATTTTGTTGTGGTGGTTTATATTTTGATGTGGGGGTGTTTTTGTTTTATGAGGACAGACTCGGTTTTGTAATGTCATTGTGAATGTTGTGGTGGTGGTTTATAGTTTGGTGTGTTAGTGGTTTGTATTTTGTTGTGGTGGTGGTGGTTTTTGTGTCATTTAAGGCTCAGATGGTGTTGTGGTGATAGCATAAGAATGGTCCGATGGAAAGACAGGCATGGTCACAGACTGGAAATCGTGAAGACATCAATTTTAAGAGCTTGTAGGCTCAAAACTGCATTTCTGTTAGAACCCAGATGGCCGCTGAATTGGAAAAGTAAAGTAAAAGTAAAGTTGTTGTAGCTGCCTTTATGTTGTCATTGTTGTCTGTATTTTCATCATCTTTCACTTAAACAGAATGCTTAAGTCACACATCTAGTGAAAATCGTGAACTTATTTGGCATCTGGGTTGCTGGCGGGTGCTATGGTGTGGTTTGCTCCTTCTTTCCTATCAAGCATCTATCGTCCTTATCTCCCCTCCTTCTTTTTTATGTTTGTTACTCTCTTGTAGCACCTCTTATCTTCTGGCGCTCATATGGCCTTATGCTATTGCGAGTGCAGTAAAACCTCTACTAAAACAATTATTTGGCCTGTTTGTGTCGCATGCTGTAAAACTCTTACTAAAAGCAAGAACTTGTATTTTCCTCCCATGCAGGAGATCATGCAGGAGAAAGATGTGCAGATGGGGGAGCTCCAGGAGCAGTTGTTCCGCATGAAGGAGCAGCTCATCGCTGCCAACATGGACTCAGACAAGGCGTCTGTATCTGCCCTAAGTGAGGTTAGTTGGGTGAAAAAATGTAGTCATCTATTCAGAGAAAGATTGAAGAGTTGTAGTGAATGAAGTCATTGATCTAGAGTTGGATTGAATACTAGAATGCCGCCATAGTAGATTGCATGCAACCTTGGTTGCTTCAGAGTTGGATTGAACATTGTCATTGATCTAGAGTGATTGAATATAAATATCAACCAAGAGATGAATTGAATGTAGTAATCTAGCCAGAGTAAGATTTAAGGGTTGGGTATATTGAAGAAAATTTGTGTAGAGCATCTTTTTATTAAGGAGGCAACATTGAGCTGACCTATTGTTGTGAGTTCCAGAACCGTAAACACATGACTAGTGATGCCTTTGAAAAGGATCCACATTGGCAAATACTTGTATTTTATATAATTTCTACTTTAAATTCTGGAATTCTTTAAACACAAAGATGATGCTTTGGTTATGAGCATTTTTAGTCTAAAGTAGATAAATGTTCATGTCACCTTTTTTCTGGATTTCTCGATGGTTGTAGGTTCTGAAAGACAAGGACAAACAGATCGAGGAGCTGACGGAAAAGGTCGACCAGTTCACCTCTGAGATGGAGAAGAATGCCGCCATTATTGACGACCTCAACAGTGAGCTGCACCGAGGTGGGAAAATGTGCAGAAACAAATGGGATTAACGAGTGTATCTGATACACCTATTAATAATAAAATGTCTGTTCTGCACACACAGAAAATTATGTTTGAAAATAATGTAGTCTTTCAAAAGTCCTTCTCTCTCAGATTTGTGCTGCATTCACTAAAGACTTTTCATCACCTGCAACTTCAAGTGAGAGATACAGGTGTTAACGTCATATTCTATCACCATAAACACAGATAAAAAATCATTAAATAAAGTCAAAGGTGATAATGCATAGGTAGAGAATGAATGAAGCTAAGTGATTTGAATGTGTGCTGAATTTGACTCACAGTGTTGAGAAAAATGGGCTCAGGTTTAAACGTGAAGATTACTGTTCTACTGTCCCCCTGACTGAGTGTAAAGTGCTGTCTTGCAGAAATGTGAAAATACAATAATGTTAAGTTCGTTTTTTTATGTCAAGAAATAAATGCATGTCTATGGATTTTAAAATCGGTCTTGGTTAGTTTCTTAAAAAAATTTTTATGAAATATTTTTTATTGAAATTTATTTCTGTTGTTGTTTCATTTGTGATTTTTTAAATAAGTTTTTAGTATTATTTGTTTTTTGTGCTTGAAATTGTGCTGTTTTGTTTTGAGCTATTAAAGGTTTTGTTTTTTTCTTTTTCGTTTGTTACAGCGGGGTCTTCTCAGGGAGATAGACTGCAAAACAAACTGAAGGAACTGCAGAATGAGAACAAATACACCAAAGAACGTTTAAAACAGGCTGAGGAAGATATGAAGAAAGTATGAACTACCAGGGTTTTTTTTGTTTTTGTTTTTTTGTTTTATTTTTCTCTCATGTTCACTAGAAATACTGTTTCCAGGAAATACCACTTGGTGTCATTTATTTCTTAAATGTATTAGGTAAGTAATATTTGCAGGCTTTAATAATGTTGGTTTATATGTAGCTCTTTTTTTTACTGTAAGTAATAAATGTGGAAATACTAAATTTTCTTGGAAAAAATTATTGATGAACTAAGTTGATCAACATCATGGAGAATCAATTTTCCTATGGAAAGGAACATTTTTCTCTCTGTCCTCTAGATGGTTAAGAAATGACATTTGTAGCTGAAAAAAGAAAAGTGCGCCGAAAAAATGTATCGGTTCTTGTTTTGGATAAACGAATGAATGTTACTGACATCAAAAGGACAACACTTGCTTGTATGTTGTTACTGTAAACCTTAACACTTTTTGTATTCTTAGATTTTTGTTTCAAAGTAAAGTCATTTTTTTTTTCATGAGAATTTGTGTGCAATGAGTAAAGTTGTTCTGTAATAGTCCGTGTTTTGATGACCAGTTACTCTGTATTCACAACTTAACCCCCTCATGACAGCTACCATGTACTGTACATGGGATTTCGCGAGCCAAGATGCCGTTCTTTTGTACATTGTGTGTGTCCTAAAATCAACAGGATTTAGCAGTCATGTGTACCATAAGGCAGGCACTATATGGGATTTTTAACTTTAGTTTAATACTTTTGAAAAAATTTTTACTGCAAAACTGATGACAAATTTGAAATCTGCAATAACGAAGATGTAGGCTGTAAATTCCTTGAATCTTTAATTCTGAAGCGGGTTGCAGAGTGACAGAAACTGCTGTGTTTTGGCCAGCAAACAGTGGAAAAAATAGTGTCATGAAGCTGTTAAACAGCTTTTGACCATCTGTGAAGACACTGAGTGCCATATGTTGAAAGTAAGGGTGTTTTTTTCCGCCTCTTTCATTATATTTCTACAGCTCACACTTAACAGTTCTCCACTCCCTCAGGTTATCTAAGCTTTATTACCCCATTTGTTACTTCTTTGCTAGACTGCGTTGTGAATAACCCTGGTTTAAATCCTCAAAAGGATATTTTAAAACTTTGACATATTCCTGGTTTCGTCTTCTCATATAAGATGTTTAAAAAAAATATATCTGGAGATTCAGACTATAAGATATATTATCTTTCTTTGTTTAATTTTGAAATTTGGTTCATACCACGCTTTTTATCTCTCAGGCGGATGAAGACTGTCGTACCAAGGACAAGGAGCTCACCGAGCTGTTGGAGAGAATGAGACAATATGAAGGGGTATGTCTTGTCTGTGTAATTACACTTTAGAATGTGTATATTTGAGGGCTGTGTCTTTTCTGTGTGATTGTGGGTGGTTGGCGGGTGCTCTTGTGTGGTTTGCTCCTTCTTTCCAATCAAACATCTATCGTCCTGATATCTCCTCCTTCTTTTTTAAATCTTCGGCACTTATATGACCTTATTGTGTTGCTAGTGCCGTAAAACTCTTACTAAAACTAAAACTTTCTGTTTGATTACACATTAGAATGTGTATGTTTGAGAAATATGTCTTGTCTGTGTAATTACATGCTGCAATGTGCATGTTTTAGAGCTATGTCTTGTCTGTGTAATTAAATGCTACAATGTGTATGTTTGAGAAATGTCTATTCTGTGTTATTACACTTTAGAATGTGTATGTTTGAGGGCTGTGTCTTGTCTGTGCGATTACACGCTGTGGGTGGTTGGCGGGTGCTCTGGTGTGGTTTGCTCCTTCTTTCCTATGAAATATCTATCGTCTTTATCTCCCTTTCTTCTTTTTTATGTTTGTTACTATCTTGAAACACCTCATCTTCTGCCGTTCATATGACCTTATGCAGTTGCGAGCGCCGTAAAACCTCTACTAAAACTAAATTAATTACACGCTGCAATGCGTATGTTTTAGAACTATGTCTTGTCTATGGAATTAAATGCTACAATGTGTATGTCCAAGGGGTATGTCTTATCTGTGTGATTATACACTACGATATGTATGTTTGAGGGGTGTGTCTTGTATTTCTCATTACATTCTAAAATATATGTATGTTAGAGGGATACGTCATGTTGGCCCAATTACACGTTACTATGTGTGTGTTTGAGAAGTATGTCTTGTTTAATTACACTCCACAATATGTATATTTAACTGCTGAGCGAGAATTTGCGCTATAAAAATGCTATCTATTATTATTATCATTATTATCATTATTATTATTATTATTATTATTATAATAATTATAAGCACCCTCTACAATTTGCATGTCTACCTCTTCATTGACCTGACACCCTATAGCTGGCAGATTGGTCAAGGCAGCAGCTGTCTACAACACTATTTGACAAAGTGTACTTGTCACTAACAAGGGAATAATTTCAGTCCCTTAATTAGTATTACCTCTATTAATATAGTGTGGCAAGCACATTTTTCTGTTCTGATATGTCCTCAAGGAAGCATACTGTACACCAAAAAAAAGCATTGAACTGAATAAATAAACTGTAAAAGAATGATTTTATTTTTAACTCGATCAAACGAATTGAAGAAATAATAATATGAATTTTTGTTATTTAAAGTCCTAAATGGGAGCAGGGTAAGGAATTGTGGTGGACACAGTTGTTTCATAATATCGTTTTCCGTTCTGTCTGTGGCAGCATTGGTTTTAGAGATAGTCTATCATTCATTGAAAAGGTGGATAGGTGAAAGGCATTTCTGGTAGGTCCTACTTCTTTTCTTTCCCTATTTCCCTGTGTTGTTTCTCTTTTTTGCTTTCTCCATGAACAAAATTGCTGCTTTTGTCCAAATATGCTTGTCTTTTGTCGAAGTAAACAATTCTTTGAAGACTGTTGGATTGTTATATTTTTTTCCATATGTTTGATTTTCACAGGGTGAATATGGTCTCAGTGACGCTGTTGCAGAGATTAAGGAAGGCAAAAATCAAGTCAAAATAAGAGAAAGGTAAGTAAAGAAAATAGATTAAAATCCACCTGTTGAAATGTGAGAAATCTTTATGAAAATGTTCTTATAGAAATATAATTTTTTTTTAATGAATAAAAAACAAAATAATAATAATAATAATAATGATGATGATGACAATAATGACAATAATAACAGTAATAAAATAATAATTATTTTTTCTCTTCGTTTTTCAGGGAAATAGAGGAACTCACTCAGTACATCAACAAAGCTGAGTTAAAGATTAATGAAATCCTGGATGAAAATGAAGAGCTACGTTACAAGCTTGGCATGGACCCCAAGGAGCCCTTAGATCTGACAGAGTTCCGCAAGAACAAGGCCATTCGACAGGAGGAACTGAAGGCTTTGAATTTCACTTTACAGAGAGAGGTATTCTGTTGTATTTTTATTGACTTGTGCGGAAATTTATCTAGTCATTATTGTGAGTTTCAGCTTGTAGTGATTAAACCCTCCAAGTATCACAAAATAACAGCGTACGGTGTCAGGGGAAATATTATGATTTCACTGTGTTTTGTTGGAAAATGCTCGACAACAGGCAAACCAGTCAAGGAAAGGCCAAGAACCTATACCTGTAGGGGTTTCATACATGTTGGGGTCGGTGGTTGAAAATCTTATATGAGTACGCTGTGAGGTGGGCATGTGAGCAAAATTCAAAATTTTAAAATTCCCAGCCGAAAAAGGAATATCGGAATCACACCTGTAAATAGTAAGACACTATCTTACACTTTTCTTGATTCCAAACTTGTTGATGATGTCTTTCCATAGGAGTTTATCGTGGAAATCAAGATCTGAAGAGAGGGGAGTAGTACTTGGGCAATCAGTTCCCTCTTTGTCTACTCCCCAGAAAAAGCTGTTTCTTGCTTACTGCTGTAGTCATCATCAATATTGATGGACACCTGAAAAGAGAGACAGAGACAGAGAAACACAGACAGAGAGAGAGAGAGAGAGAGAGAGAGAGAGAGAGAGAGAGAGAGAGAGAGAGAGAGAGAGAGAGAGAGAGTCCATTGTTAATTTGACTCAACATGGTGTACTTGAAACCACCAAACAGTTGATGCTTTTTATTTGTTTGTCTACTCTTGAACAGATTGAAATGCTGGAAGAAGATCGTATTGCCGACAAGAAGAAGATTCGTAAATTGGCTCAACAGCTTGGACAGAGGTAATAGATTTTTGGGGATTTTTGTTGTCCCGTTTCCCTTTTTCAGGTGCCGTGTTCATGATATCATTGTGTGAGACAATCATTGACCATGAGATTGTGAGTAAGTACATGTACAATGAAATTTCAACCCTATAATGACAAATAAGAGAATTTGAATATTAATGATTAGATCTATCAATTAGCACTTGATTATTAAGCTGTTTTTTTCTAGCATTTGTCGTATACTCTAAAGCCCCCCAGACTAGCTTCTTGATATTGTTCTATGTCTTTCCACTTTTCTGTACATCATTCTCTGTGACTGTTTTCCAGGTTCCACAATGGCCTTCCCCTTGATCTCTTACCCTTAGATTCCAATCCAACACTAGTATCTTTTTGAAGTTGTGCTAGTGTACTCTTTATGTTATTGTTAAAGTTGAATGATTTGCTTATTTTGCTTTGCTCTGACTCACAGTGTAGAAGCGTTTTCTTTGGAAGCTGAGAGGTATCGAGTTATTGAAGGTTTTTTTTTTCATTTGTGTCACGGTGTGATGGGATCAGGCGCTTGTCAATTTTTAGGCACATAGAGTTATTAATAGTTATTTATTGTTCATTTGTCTTGGTTTTTTTTGGAAAAAAATACTCACCTATCATGAAAAGAAGTTGAGATATTTGCCATGGAAGGCGGTGAGCTTTGCCTGGTGTAGCAATTAAAAATTTGCTAAAAATGACTGGCAAAGTAATGTGACTTCCAAATCTTGAGTCTCCTTGGAAATTTGCATTTTGTTCTGCCTTTGATCAAAGTTTTTCAGTAAATGCTGTGAAGGAATATGTTTTTAATTGGACACTAAAGGTATTGAGCCCAAAACACAAAAGAAAAAAAATATAGATAATTGCCGAACGGGCAGATAAGTTTTGATTTCTTCAATGCCATTATTTTGACAAGGGCCTGATTTAACCGTGATGCATTGTATTTACATTCTGATATTTGCCACACATCTCCTGTGTAGAAATGGTTTTTAAAATTGTTTGATTGATTTTGTTTATTCTCATTGATGTTCTCTAAGATTCCATGACATGTTTTGGGAACACTTGTACTTTTCAGAGTTGACTTGTTAAGTCAAGATTCTATGTGTTCCCTTCTACTCTATTTAAAAGGTCTCGTTTCTTTTTGCTGGATTTGGAGAAAAAAAAAGGGGGGTGAG